GTGCTTTTCGTGCCATCGTGGATACGTGCTTTTCATGCTCATCGTCGATCCGTGCTTTTCGTGCCATCGTGGATACGTGCTTTTCATGCTCATCGGCGATCCGTGCTTTTCATTCTCATCATTGATCCGTGCTTTTCGTGCTCATCGTTGATACGTGCTTTTCATGATCATCGTTGATCCGTGATTTTCGTGCTCATCGTTGATACGTGCTTTTCGTTCTCATCATCAATCCGTGCTTTTCATGCTCGGTGATCGCCGTGGATGCGTGCTCATCGTGAATCCATCCTGACACCGTGGATGCGTGCTTTTCATGCTCGGTGCTCATCGTGAATCCATCCAGACGTGCTCATCATTGATCCGTGATTTTCATGCTCATCCAGACGTGGTCACCGTGGATGCGTGCTCACCGTGGATGCGTGCTCACCGTGGATGCGTGCTCATCGTGAATCCATCCAGACGTGCTTTTGGTGCTCATCATCGGCCCTCCCTTCTTCCTCCCTTTCTCCTTCCTTCTTTCCTCCGTCATCTTTGCGCTCCTTCCTCCGGTGGCGTTACCTTCCTCGGCCCTCTGTCCTCCCTCCTTTCGTGCTACCTTATCTGGGAATGATATAGAGAGTGCATTCCGTTTTTCTTAGCTTTCTCAATTTGCGTTAAGGCTTAGCTCCACTTTTTTTTTCCAATGTGAATAAGGGCGAGCGTGTCACGCGTGCGGTGCGCACAGACGCACATAGCGAGAGGTGTGGATGGATGGCGCGTGTGCGCGTGCGCGTGCGCACGAGAGAGAGAGGAAGACAGAGAGAGAGAGGGGTGACTCAGTGTGGTGTGTGTAGGGCTTGGGGAGGAAGAGACTGAAGTATGGAAAGAAATATCGATGCCCTGAAATACCTGGTGCAGGGCAGCTAATCATAAGGCCGCTCCAAAGAAAAAAGACCGAGGGAGAATGTTGAGGAGGAAGATCTTGAGGAGGCAGAAGACGTGGTGGTGGAAGAGAGACAAGGGCAAAGAAGGTGCGAGGAAGGAATAGCGAGAAGAGGAAATGTGTTAGGTGAAATGCGTTTTTCTCTCTCCTGCTTTCCCTCTTTCCTTCTTGAGCGTGTGCAACGGTGTTGAGATCTTTAAAAGAAATGGAGCGATCTTGATAACAAATGGAGCGTTTACGTCCACTGTGTCGGGCCTTATGAAAGGAGGGCCGCCAGTTGAGGGAGGAAGGGGCAGGTAGGGAGTACAACGGAGGGAGGAATGGAAGGAGGTGGTCAGGTGGTGATCAGGCTGAGGAAGGAAGGGGAGGAAGGAGATTGGGGGAAGGAGGGCAGACAAAGATCGGGCGAACGAAGGGGGCGGATGAAGGGGAATGAGTCGGCCAGGCGGACGGAGGCCAGTGGGAGGTTGAAGAGAAAGTGCGGAGGAGGCCAGTAGGCAGGGGAAAGGCGGCAGAGAGTAGGGCGGAAGCAGGAGTTCAGGTAGAGATCGGCCAAAGGAAGGAAGGGGAGGAAGGAGATTGGGGGAAGGAGGTCAGTGCAAGTCGGGCAGAGGAAGGAGACGGAGATTGGACGAAGGAAGGGAAGTGAGGTGGCCARGTGAAGGGAGGGCAGAGGGAGGTTTTAAGAGAAGGTCAAGAGGAGGCAGGGAGAAAAGGGAGGCGACAGGGAGAAGTAGGGCGGAGGGAGGACAGAAAGCAGAACGTAGTTTAGAGGTTGAGTGACATATGGAGGAAGGGAAGAGGTAAAGGGGGGACGAGCATGCGAAGAGGAAGAGGAGGGGAAAGACGGCATGGTGAGGTCGGCCGGAGGGAGGGCAAAGGTTGGGTGGGGTATGGAGCAAGGGAAGAGGTCAGGCGA